AATTTTTATATTGTTTAGTCACTTTTTAAAATGACCTAAAGTCAATTATACTTTTCTAAAACATACAAAATAAATGTGATTTAGTAACTAATTTTGATATACTTTTATTTTTACGAGTGTAAAACCTTACATTATTTTGCTCGTAGCTTCCACAGTGCTTAGATACTATCCAAATTGAGTGTATAGTGATATAGCGACAATGGATGAGCATGGTTATATCAAAATTGTCGGCCGTACCAAAGAGATGATCATAAGGGGTGGCGAAAATATATACCCCCGCGAGGTTGAAGAGTTGTTACACACTCACCCCGATATATTAGACGCATACGTATTTTGTTGTTTAGCTAGATTAATTTATGATGTGTTTTAATTGTATGCATTTTTACGGTATTAATAGGTGTGCGGAATACCCGACGAACGTATGGGCGAAGAGGTGTGCGCTTGGATTCAACTGAAAGACCCGACGGGTAAACCGCTTACCGTCGATGATGTGCGCGAGTATTGCAAACAGAGAGTGAGTTGTATTTAAATAAATTTTCTATTTGTATTAATAAAATAATTTTATGTGTTTTATTGGAAATTTTTCTTAAATTTTGTTCAAATATTTACAACCATAAGTAACGTACATTTATTTAATAATTATTTTCAGTACATTAATGGATAAATATAATAAAATTAAAAACATTTTGAAGGATCTTCTTGATAAAAAAATCATGTTTCTATTTTATAACTTGGCAACTTGAGTTTACTTCATTAAATATAGACAAACTGTAAAAGAAAATATTTATGTTTTATTAATTATTACTTTTTGTTTTTAAATATAACCAAAGGGAATGCTGAAAAATACATGTCTAATTTAAAAAATTTTATTTTTAAAATTACGCTAGATCACTTATTTCAAAGTACCCAAATACATATTATTTGTGGACAGTTTCCCGTTAACACCGGCGGGAAAAGTGAAAAAGTTTGTGATGAAAGAGGAGTCGTGTCGTATACTTGGCCTAACTGTCAAATAAATTATTAAATATTTTCACATTAATAAATAAATGTTATTCAAAACTTAATTATACATTAACATAATAATATCGCTAAATTATGCTAATTTATGATTTATTTTTTATAATAATAAAAGGTTTTTTTGTATAAAAGTTAACATGTTAAAATTTGACATTGATTTTATTTTCTATTAATTTAATTTAATAATTTAAGTTTATTTTTCTTATTATTATTGAATGAATAAGTTTGAAAAAGCGAGAGAGAGAGAGAGAGAGAGAGAGAGAG